CCCTCTGTCCCCTGCTGGTCTCTCTGTGTACCCTCTGTCCCCTGCTGGTCTCTGTGTGTGTACCCTCTGTCCCCTGCTGGTCTCTGTGTGTACCCTCTGTCCCCTGCTGGTCTCTGTGTGTACCCTCTGTCCCCTGCTGGTCTCTGTGTGTGCATGTACCCTCTGTCCCCTGCTGGTCTCTGTGTGTGTACCCTCTGTCCCCTGCTGGTCTCTGTGTGTACCCTCTGTCCCCTGCTGGTCTCTGTGTGTACCCTCTGTCCCCTGCTGGTCTCTGTGTGTACCCTCTGTCCCCTGCTGGTCTCTCTGTGTACCCTCTGTCCCCTGCTGGTCTCCGTGTGTACCCTCTGTCCCCTGCTGGTCTCTGTGTGTGCCCTCTGTCCCCTGCTGGTCTCTGTGTGTACCCTCTGTCCCCTGCTGGTCTCTGTGTGTGTACCCTCTGTCCCCTGCTGGTCTCTGTGTGTGTACCCTCTGTCCCCTGCTGGTCTCTGTGTACCCTCTGTCCCCTGCTGGTCTCTCTGTGTACCCTCTGTCCCCTGCTGGTCTCTGTGTACCCTCTGTCCCCTGCTGGTCTCTGTGTGTACCCTCTGTCCCCTGCTGGTCTCTGTGTGTACCCTCTGTCCCCTGCTGGTCTCCATGTGTACCCTCTGTCCCCTGCTGGTCTCTCTGTGTACCCTCTGTCCCCTGCTGGTCTCTGTGTACCCTCTGTCCCCTGCTGGTCTCTGTGTGCCCTCTGTCCCCTGCTGGTCTCTGTGTGCCCTCTGTCCCCTGCTGGTCTCTCTGTGTACCCTCTGTCCCCTGCTGGTCTCTGTGTGTACCCTCTGTCCCCTGCTGGTCTCTGTGTGTACCCTCTGTCCCCTGCTGGTCTCTCTGTGTACCCTCTGTCCCCTGCTGGTCTCTGTGTGTACCCTCTGTCCCCTGCTGGTCTCTGTGTGTACCCTCTGTCCCCTGCTGGTCTCTCTGTGTACCCTCTGTCCCCTGCTGGTCTCTGTGTGTACCCTCTGTCCCCTGCTGGTCTCTGTGTGTACCCTCTGTCCCCTGCTGGTCTCTGTGTGTACCCTCTGTCCCCTGCTGGTCTCTGTGTGTACCCGCTGTCTCCCTGCTGATCTGTGTGTATATATACCTTCTCTATCCTGGCTGGATCAGCTATTTTTATTTATGTTTTTATCTGTACTAGGTTTAAACTCATGGCCTCATACAAATAATCTACTCCTAAACTACACCATCAATATTTTTGTGTGTATATTTTATGCATCTATATGTGAAAGATAGTGTGTGTGTGTGTGTGTGTGTGAGAGAGAGAGAGAGGGAGAAAGAGAGAGAGAGAGAGAGAGAGAGAGAGAGAGAGAGAGAGAGAGAGAACACATTTGTGTGTTTATAGATGCCTGCATGTGTGGGACTGTGTGCTGAGGCCAGAGGCAACCTTGGTTGTATATTCTCAGGGCTTCCCACTCTTTTACTTGTTTCTTTATTTCTCCTCCTTCTCTTCCTTGTCCTTTTCTTTTCTTTTTCTTTTTAATGTTGAGACATAGTCTCTCACTAGCCTGGACTGTGGCAAGTAGACAAGGATGCTGTCTGTCAAGGCCCTGGCACCCACCTGTCTCTGCCTGCTCAGGCCTTGGAATATAAATGCATGCCACCAATGCCCAGCACAATATTTTTAATATGGATTCTAGGATTGAATTCAGGTACACAGTCTCCCTGGGCCTTGGATTTTGTGTTTTGAGACAGTCATCTAAGTTGCCTTAAACTGGCCTTAAACTCACTGATTGTATTAAATTTGTGGTTCCCGTATCTCAATCTCAACAGAGATAAGGTTACCAGTATGTGCCCTCGGACCCAACCAAGTATGTTTTAAAGATTTTTAAACCAAAAATAACTAATGTGTGTATATAGCCGGGCAGGTTACATACACATGAGTGAAGTGTCTGTAGAGGTCAGAAGAAGGTCTGTAACCCACTGGAGCTACAGATACATGCAGTTGTGAGTCACCTGTTGTGGGTCCTGGCAACGAAATTAATATCCTTCTGCAATCGCACCACATGCTCTTAACCACTGAGACGGCACTCCAGCTTCTCAGTTATGCTGTAAAATGTATCTAAGTGTTATGGAAAGCTCTGTTGGCTTCTAGACATTTCTATTCCAAAGTTTGGAATGAGATGTGAGTTCAAAACTCAATCCTTCCAGCTCCTGGCTACATAACCTTCTTTGTACTTCAGGAAATCTGATGCTTAATTTCTTAAAAGATAAGTCCCTCCTTGGCAAGTGTGTGCATGCTTACACACACACGCACACACACACACACACATGCACACACAAAACATACACACATATACACACATACATACATAAACACATTCACACACACTACATACATAAAAAAATTCACACACACGTACACACACACACACACACACAAATATGAAAGTGTCAGACATTACATGCCTGGTACACATATAAGCCTTTGATTAATGGCAATCTTATTCATATTTCTATGAGGCAAAAGTTATTAATTAAGGGCACAATTTATGTTGTAAAAGAACCACATACAACCTACAGTGCAAATCCAGTTTGTTTGCTTTCATTTGTTACTAGAGTTGCTTTCATTTGTTACTAGAGTAACTAGTTACTAGAGTAACTAGCCTGTTCCAGGGGCTACCTTGGCAGCAATACCCCCTGAACCCCCTGCTAGATTCCAGGCTATTATAAAGTATGGTCTGCGATTTTGAAAGAGACAGCTGGCTAAAGTTTTCTCATTTTTCATGAGTAGGTTTGAACAACGTGTCTTTGGCAGGTACACATTTGGTGACTTAGCAAATATCTGTCCCATAAATGGCATGCTAATTTCTGGCCCTGTTCCTTAAACTAGTAAACCATAAATTTTAGAAGTCAAGGAGAAAAACAAAACAGAAGAACAACCCATATGGGACAAAGCTGAGCAATCATAATATTTAAAGAGAATTGAAAAAGAGCACCTGGAGAAGAGGTGATGTGGTTTGTAATAAGGCAACCGAAAACAGTGTCCCACTGGGGGAAGGGCAGGAGGATGGAGAAGGAGAAGGTGGGGGGCTGTGAAAGCTTAAATAGTCGTAGTTGTGAGAGAAGGGGAGATAGAGCTCTATGGTATGGTAGCCTAATAACTTCTAACCAGCAGCCTAAGATCATAGTGTATGTGTGAGCAGTCTGGTAATTATAAGGGAATAGGTGAGGTGGCAATGTAAGAATTTTAAATTAAAAGGAAATCGCAGGGCTGCTGTAAGTCAAGCCGACCTGCTTTCTTTCAAACATTGACTTGAGAATAATGCTTAGCCCAGAGTGCAGGCAGGGGGACAAGGAGAGAGATCTGTTAATTACAATGCTCATTAGCTGTGATGGGAACAAGCAGATGCAGGAGGGAGAGGATGCTGTCTCAGGGGTTGGCAAGGGGGATAGTTTTGCTTTCCCTGGTTCTTGGGGTAAGGGGAAGCAAGGGGGGCCATTGGGTGACTTTTACATACTTTCAGAACATGGCTTGGCTTCAGGGAGCATAGACGTTCCCATAGTGAAATAAGTTTGAGGAACAGGAAGATTCCTGCCTCAGTGCTTCGTTCTTGAGACTTGCCACTTAGAAGAGTTAGGTGAACGTTTCTGATAGGAAATTCCACAGCATCCTCCCTTTATTGAAAAGGAATTGAAATCATGGGGGAAGGGAGACATGGAGGAGAGCATGAAATTTGTTCAGCGATAAAAGTATTATTAGATTTATAGTGAAAGTGATAATTGCATCCATTCCGTTACACTGTGACTACTCCCCCAAATTCTAGAGAATGACCATCACACGGTGGGATCCCCATAAATCAACTTTCCACTGGGAAGCAATTATCTAAGTCCCTTTCTCAACTGTCACCTCTCATAGTGGCTGCTGAGGTTCTCAGAGGCTGGCCTAAGAGAGGTTTTACACTGTGGTGAGGCAGAAAGCCAAGAGGACCTATTACATCTTTGCATCTAATTACCTTTATAGAAATCTACCCACTTATGGGGCTGATGGAGGGGTGGTGGTGGTGATGTGTTTCTCCTAGGTTAGAGAAATAGTTTTTCACATTAGGCTTCATCCCAGAGCCTTTAATATGGTATGATGTTAAGGGGGAGTCAAGGAGAGGACCATCGTAAATCTCATTTTTCTAAAACGAGGCACAGGATATCTCTGATTTCCTGACCCATAGGTTCTGTAGAGTTAAAGCAGAAAATTCTTTAGAGTCGTCTTTCAACTTTCTCTTTCTCTTTCCTTCTCCCTGAGGCATGTATATCCATGTGCGCTTGCACACACACACACACACACACACACACACACGCGCACACGCATGCACACGCACATGTGCGCACACAGACACACACACACACTCACGCTTGCACAAATTATTCGCTAATCAGTGTTGTCAATCTTTCACTAAGTTTTGTGAAAGTGGTAAAGTGGCACTTGCAAACCATCCTTAGGGAGCCTGAGAATATCTGTGCTGCCTGCAAAAGAGAAGTTAGATTCTGTTTGTGATCAAAAGAATGCAGCATCAGGATATGGAGTGGGACACAGAGTGGAGATAGATGTAATTTGAGGAATGACAGGGACTTCGCAAATCACCACAGCTCTGTTGATAAATTTAGAATCTGGAGAGCCAGGGTAGCATTGACAGTAGTTCTTCAAGACAAAGATAAAATAAAAGCAACCGGACCCTTTAGAGCGTTTGTTTATGGCCTGTCTGGGAGCTTTGATGTAACCCTGTCATGCCCTTATGCTGATTACCTTCTTGTAGAACAAGAGGTATTGACTGGAGAGTGAATGATGGGTAGTCTCAGCCCTTAGGAAGCATTCTTAAAGAGCAATGCCTTTAACATACCAACACTGCTGCTCTTTCCTCCCATTCTTTATCTTCCCCTCTCTGCCATGTCTATGTGTCAACATTGATGGGACCGTTTAACATTCATTCTCTCTCTCTCTCTCTCTCTCTCTCTCTCTCTCTCTCTCTCAGGCTTCTCTGCAGAATGTCAAACAAAGATCGACACATTGATTCCAGCTGTTCGTCCTTCATCAAGACGGAACCCTCCAGCCCAGCCTCCCTGACGGATAGCGTCAACCACCACAGTCCTGGTGGTTCTTCCGACGCCAGCGGGAGTTACAGTTCAACCATGAATGGCCATCAGAACGGACTGGATTCGCCACCTCTCTACCCCTCTGCTCCTATCCTGGGAGGTAGCGGGCCTGTCCGGAAACTGTATGATGACTGCTCCAGCACCATCGTTGAGGATCCCCAGACAAAGTGTGAATACATGCTCAACTCCATGCCCAAGAGACTGTGCTTAGTGTGTGGCGACATTGCCTCTGGCTACCACTATGGGGTCGCATCGTGTGAAGCCTGCAAGGCATTCTTCAAGAGGACGATTCAAGGTGAGTGTCTACACCATCTAACTCTTTTTTCCCTTTGGGTACTGATTCTCCTACTTCATACCATGCACACTAACAGTAATGGGTAGAAAACATCAGTACACTGAGCAGTGCATACTAGGTTCACAATGCTGTTCATCACATTGCTTTTCTCATAGGTTTAAGAAAGTGTTGAGTATTTAGACCAATGTTTCTGTACCATGTTTGTATATTAAAATCCCTTGGCAGCCTCACTTACATGGATTACTGTGTTCTCTCTCCAGAATTTCTGGTTCATTAGACTTGTAGTGGTGCTTGAGAATTTACATCCTTCCAAAATTGCCAAGGATGCTAATCCTGGTGGTTCAGGGATCACAGTTTGAGAACTGACACTCTAGACATATCTATTATGAACTCAATGTCTTTGTAGCTGAGTATATGTTTCCCATGTTTATGAATAAATTTATATAAAAAATTTGCCAACTAAATTGCATTTAACTATAAAATATATCTCCAAACAAGTGCCAGTGATATATACAAATCTCTAGATTTGAAAATCTCTTGATTTAGAAATAATATGATTATTTCTATGCAAAATGTAGAATGATTGAAATTTTCACCTGCTCTTTTAAACTAGTCATATACAAATAAAGAACTCAGCATATATATGTTGAGATAGATAGAGGCAGGTAGTCAGGCAGACAGACAAACCGGACAGATAAATAGTATGTTTATGTTGGGACTGACCTCTGGGACTTCTGTATGTACTTTATCAATGAGCCATATCCCAGATCCTAGTATATAAATGCTCAACAGCCATTCATATACACAGTCTAACTCTTCATGTATCTATACTTCCCAACCTTTTTTGGTTATTGGAAGTTTCCTGGAAACAGTGTTCTTAAATATTTCTTCAGAGCCTGAATCCCAAAGTTCTATGTTAATTTGTCTTGAATACAGCCAGGGCCAAGGGAGATTTTTGTCAACTTCTTTGGTGATCCCTAATGTGAAGTCAAGGCACCATTCTGAGTTAATGTACCAGTGGACCTCAGAGTGCCATGGCTGGGCTGGGACTGTCAGCATCATCAACAAATGTGTTAGCAGTGCGAACCCTAGGCATCCTCCTAGGCTAAACCAATGAGAGCCTCTGTCTTGAGTCTGACTCCACAATCCTTCAGGTACTGAGGCAGGAGAATTCTACCCTGAATCACAGTGATGCTGATTTATCAATGACATTCTTCCAGGCACCTGAACGGCCCTTTCTAGAACATAAGTAAAATCAGGTTATTGAGAACCTCAAGAACCATGATATGCTGGTTTTTTAGGTACAAAAGAGGTATTTCTTGCCAATACCAATGCATTTTACATATTTTAATAGAAGGTGATTCAAGACCTTCTTCTGTGACTGTGGAGGAGCTCCCTATCCTTGCTTTTCATTATGTGTGGCATTGGGTACTTGGGATGGGTGCCAAGCCTCATGCATGCTAAGTACAGGCTCTCCCTTTGGACTAGTCCCCTTTTACCTGTGTTCATTCTTGCAAGAGTCTTGTCTTCATCTGTGTCTGAGAACACAGGGTTCACTGACAGCGCACAGATATGGCACTGAGTGTAAGCACGTCTCTAGACTTGGAGTTACCATGTGTGAAACTATAGGTTTAATTCTAGTACTGAAATATTAAAACACACACACATACACACACTGTTCAAGACGTTATAGCTCTTACATAATAGAGTGGATATTTCTATAGTCTCCTGTGGTGTGGAGTGAAATACACATGTTTATGTAGCATATTCATAAATTCATTAAATACTAGTAGATTCAACTTCCCATTTTCTGGGTCAGAAGATCATGCTTTATTTTTTCTTATTAAAATCTTCCAACCTCTCGGGTCTTTATTTAATCACCCATACCTAGTTGGTACAATGCTTAAGGACAGATGAAATGCAAAGTCTCATGTAGATCTTGAAGATGTGACTCAGTGACCTAGCATGGACATAGCATGGACAAGTCCATGGGTTCAGTTCTTTCAACTACCACCGGCAACAACATTTGGATGAAGTACATCTTCATCCTATTCATTGATACTGGCAAAATTTAAGGATGAAAGCACCTCAAATGTTTGATTTGTTTTAGCAGCCACTGGCCAATATTACTATCATCCTAATATTAGAGAGTGTATAAAATTCAAATTGTTAGTAGTTTTTGATAAATTTATATAGCCTTTGTCCTGGCATGAAAATAAATGTCTTGGGATTAAGGAAGAAATGCAGTCTAGGCTGATAGAAGTCATGGTCTTTCACAGTAAAGCCAGTACCATTTACCAGCAAAGATTTCTAGAGCCAGTATGATCCTGGCAGTGTGCTGGCTGGAGTTTCATTTCATCTTCTCCACATCTTTTGCAAATCCTATTCCTCAAGCTCATGGTTTGAGATGAATTCTTCCTCTACAAGTCTCTTCCTTTGTGGAAGCACTAGAACACTTAGAGCAGTGGAGAGGATTTAAGTCTATTCTTGAGTATACTTTGTTGAGACAGAATATGTCAGAGGAAAAATACTAACAGTTCTTTTTTGTTTTGCTTATTTTTTAACAGATTATTATTTTGATGTGAACAAAATAGTTATTGGCTGAGTGGCCACTGGCATAGAGCCATCAGTGTTCTGGGTATGATTATCTTTTAGGATGTCAGCAGATCCTAAGGTACAGGGTGATTCTTGGCGTAGATGCAGAGTGCTGGATTTTCCTTCACATTGGAGAGAGTGAGTTTCAAGGGTTTTGAGCAGGAGACAGAGATGTCACTGTCCTGATTAGCACCCTGGTTATGCCCACCTGGCTGGGGTTGGAGCTGGCAGCTGGGCCACACTCTGTAAGGCTACCCTGCTAGCCTCGTCAGCAGGGTTCACACTGTGCTGTTCACTTAGCCCCGAAAAGGCAGTGAGGCAAATAAAGGGATTAAATTGTGAAAGTATAATGTAATAATTAGGGCGGTAATTGTAAGGAAGATTGGAACGGACCCACCTTTTTGTGGCCAAACAATGGTGACTGAACTACAAAGATGTTCAAAGTGGCCCATGTGTATTGCAGCCTCTTATGTCTGTGTTCCTATGAGGAAGGGGTAGAGGCTGGACCTTGGGACTCAAGGCAGCATCAAAGCAAATCATCCTTGACAGGTAGTAGTGTTTGCCCCCTTCCTTGTGAACTCTTCAGGGATGAGCAGAGATTACATAACTCCCCTTGAGAACCAGGCCTGCCTGCTTCTGTCTCATAGCCCCGATGGCCAGGACATTATGTAAGTGTGACTTCTGCCTCACCAGGGCCTGGTTCTGGTCTCTGACTTCCTGAGGGACATGTGTATCCAAAGGCTAGTCTGTGGGCAGGAGTGCCTCTTAGGAATCTTTCTTCTTACTAAAATGACTTATTTGGTGGATTTATTTGATTACTGATGTGTAATAAATATGAGTTTAAAAGAATGGACAAGAAAACACATCCTATTTCATAGAATAAAATGTAGTCCAACTCTAAAATTGAAGATAAAACCAATTAAAATCTTTAAACATATTTTTAGAAAGTTGTAGAAAAAAAAAACTGCACATAGTGCTATGTACCTACAATCCCAGTGGAAGGCTGAGGCAAGAGGCTGTAAATCTAAAGGCAGCCTGCCCTACATAATAAGAATCCCCCTTAAAGAAAAAGACGAAAGGATCAAAAAGATGGATCAAATAATTCTTAAATTTGGAACTAAACTTATATCTAGGCAAGCTTTGACACAGATATTGAGAATTATTCTTTCAAAGCTGACTATGGTATTTTGCTCTCGAAAAGGCAATTAATTATGGGTTTCATTGAATTCCAATTAGAAAGGCATATGCTATTTATTAATTATTTCCAAAGAACTACTGGATAATATCAGAAGTGGGCAAGATGCAAGGCTGTTTATGGAGGGCTTTTTGCTTGGTTTTGTGTGGAGCTAGAGAGGCAACCCACAGCCTTGTGCTAAGCCTATAGTCTCCACTTGACCACACCCCCAGCCATTAAGATACTCAAAAAGTACTTGCAAGGACTTTCACTTTCCTATCAAATGCAAACCTAACAACTGATAGGACAAGTGATAGGATTGCAGTGACTATCATGTTTCCATAGTTATTAATTTGGGAGGTTTGATGCCCATTACTCTTGGGTTTTTTTTTTTTTTATAACTCTACTCTTGGTTGTAATTCATATATAAAGGAGGAAGGTTTCTGTTTTTCCTTTTCCCTAGTAATTTTCTATGGACTTTTTTTTTAAATAAAACATACACAAAAGAGAGCAATACATTTAATATAAAACACTTGGTTGTTAAGGCTTTTATTTCAATATTGGATAAAGAAAATTGGTTTAATACACAAAGCACCCCTGCATTTCAAAACAGGAAATTATATGTTTAAGAATATAGGATTTGGAATAGATGTGCCCAGTGGTCAAGTGGTAGAAATTGAGTTCCCCACTAAGAATGCGGTACCTGTTTGCAATCCCAGCCCCTGGGGAGGCTGAAATGATAGCACAGGGATCAAGGCTAGCTTGGGCTACTTAGTGACATTCTGTCAGTAAGAAAAAGGGCTCAGGATGTAGCTCAGGGGCAGTGCACTTCTCTGTCATGCATGGTTCTGCCTTCTACCTTTCATGCCTCAAAAATAAATAACTTTGTGGTGGAAAACAATAGCAAAACCACACTATACACACACACACACAAAAAAATGTCCATGGGTGATTTAAGGGCTGCAAAGAAAGAGAAAACTATTGGGATGGATTTTAATTTGAAAACTGGAGCTTGAGAAAGCACTTTCAACATGAAGATTTTTAAATAGCTTTAAAAGTTCAACAAAACCATGAAACAAATATAGACCACATACTATCCCAAGATTCTTAATCTCTGTCTGGTCCAGTATTTGTCATAATGTTCTGACCATACTATCAACAACCTAAGGAATGATATCCCATATGTGTAAATGTGTTAAAGTCGTATGTCAAGACTTACTGCTGAATGAAA